TGCCTCTCCACAATCTGTGTGTATCGTGTGTTGACACCACTCCATGCCGTGACAAAAGGCTGTCAAAAATCTTCTCACGCTGTCTTCCTCTGTCTCTCTTTTCACAATTATTCCCAGTGGTCACAACATGTTCCATTTTCCCTCTTCTCATAATATGATCATAAAATGACGACTGTCTCTTTCTGTTGTTTGCGTCTTCGAGAACCTGCCTTTTCCCAAACATCTGGGTTACTCTACTTAGCTGCTGCCCTAATGAATATTCTGTAAAACCACATCTCCGAGGCCTCAAGACATTGTTCGGCTTGTTTATATTAATTACCCAGGATTCACAGCCATATGTTAAAACTGGCTCTATACAGCATATCGGCTCTGTGGCTAAGTCGATGCGAACGCTTCGTAATGCCGGGTTCTATCCCAGCTGCGGGCCATGCGCCTTGCGTTGGTTTCGACAGTGGTATCAAAGAAGCCGACCGTCCAGGTCACTGGCAAACTACTGGACGTAAATTTGCTTAGAAAAAACCACACAACAGCCAGGGGCTGCTGGGGTTGGGTCTGCAACGTCCTTGAAAGGGTAAGCAACTACCCTATACAGCATGCGAGAACTCCTTTCCTAACCTCCAGTGACACTGATTTTATTGCAAAGTTTTCATTTTTATAAAAGGCAGTTTTGACTTGCCTATTCTGTTTTTTATCTCTGTGATACGGCTTCCATCGAATGTTATCCATGTGCCCAAATACTTAAATTTCCGTACTTGGCCTAAAAAACGCTTTTGATTCTCATTATACATTAAGGCACTATTCTTTTCTTGGAAATCACCATTACTTCTGTCTTCGCTTTATTCAAACTAAGGCCCATTTTATCACCGCATCTATTCATTCCTGTAATTCGTTCTGACTTGTCGCTATCAAGATGGTGTCATCGGCATAATGAGGGTTGTTCAGGTCATTTCCCCCAACCACAGTTCCTGGGCGGCGTCCGTGGCTAAGGCCTAGTCCGACTCGTAAGCTAGCATACCGGGATCGAAACCCACTGCAGGCTGCGTGGATTTTTGTCATGGTATGGGACATCGCAGGTCGACCCAGCCTAAAATGGGTACCAGGATGGGCTGTCCTGGGAAAGTAAAGACAGCCGGCGTAATGCTGACCACATTACCCAGAGTGCTGATGGTCTGCAAAAATATGGGACGCTCTGCCCACATGCCCGATGCGCCGAAAGGCGTGAAAAGGGAACTTGACAGTTGCTGGCATACCCATGACAGATTCCATGATATATTCAATGTGCAGCGAGAACAAATCAGCTGACAGTTCTGGTCATACCTCCCTCTCTATGCGCTGAAATGTTCCCAAATGGTTTTTCATTCTTATAGCTGCTGTCTGCTGCCAATACATATTCTTTATAATTCGCTCAGAAGATTTGATTATTTACACAGATGGTTCAGTGTCAAGAGAAGTGCTTGGGATTTCTTAGCAAAAGTTAATGGTCGACGTTTGGTGCATGAGAGCCTAGCATATGATACCATAACATCCAGCTTAAGAATGGAGGTGGAGGCGGTCACTGCGACTTCCTGCTGGCTAGAGAACATGACACACACATCGTGATTGTAACCGACTCAGAAAGCATGCTGAGGAAGATCAGGACAGGCATGCCTTGCTGCTGAAGACACGGGTGAGGAGTATTGTCTAGATTTTTTTTCACCAGGGTATGCCGGTGTGTAATAAACAGCATCCTTTCTCGAAAGCTGAAATATTTTGGTCATATCAAGCGCCACGGCGGACTGGGAAAAATTATAGCAGAAGGCATGGAACCAGGAAGGAGGGGCAGGGGCCGACCGACATGAAGATGGGCACAGGATATAAGTAACTCCTTGAGTGTGAAAGTTCATGAGGCGGGAGAACAGGCAAGAGACCGAGTTTCTTACAGGCAGACTGTAATGAGAGCGACGTTCTGCAAAGGACCTGCTACATGATGATGAATGCCGGTGTGTTGGGAAATGAACAGGCAGACAGTCTGGCTGGCTCTGCACAGCTTGGTGGAATACTGATGCATGATAAGGTGGTTAGCAGACGTTGTTAGTGCCTTGTGGGAGAGCTTGTACAGTTCGGAGGAGCAGATGGATCACCAGTCTGGTGAGATTGAGGCATTTGGGGGTGACGAGAGGTTCTGGCACATGCTCGAGGCTCAGAGGAAAGGCAAGAAGGACGTTTAATCAGAATGCTACTGGCACCATTAGTATCGGAACTCTTCGCTGGCTGCTGAAGATGGAGACGGAGCGCTTATGGAAATGCCCTGAGTGCTGTGATGTCGGTTCTTGAATCAAATCGTAAATCTTTTCCATCAATGTTCAACTTTTCCAAATAGTTTGATTATTTCTTCATATTTCATACAATCAAATGCTTTTGTAGAGTCTTCTTCTTCTCTTCCACCTCAGCAAAGTGTCGGGGGAGGGAAGATGTAACGGTTCGTTGATGCGCTCTGCCAAGAGCACTATTAAGATTGATGTTCATTTCTGTAAGGCTGTTCTTAATGCCATCAATCCATATTTTCCGAGGTATTCCGCTAGCTCTATACCCTAACGTTTCTGTGTTTTTCAGAATCTGTTTATACATCATCATCATGTGCCTTGCCGACTGGCATGGGCGATCATGCCTCTCCACGATCTCCTGCAGCATGTATCAGTTCATGTGCTGACACACCTCCATGCCATGCAACAAGACTGTCAAGAATCTTCTCTCGTTGTCTTCCTCTATCCCTCCTTCCACAGATTTTTCCAGTGGTCACATGTTCTATTTTTTTTTGGCTGAAAAATGACTGTCTCCTGATGTCAGATAAATTTTCGGGTTCCCACCAAAGTCAAAATGTTGAGAGCAAGCATCTCCGCTGTAGCAAGATATGAATATAGTCATGAACTATCCCACAGTCCTCCAGACAGACAGAAAACAGGGGTTTTGAACTGAAATGCTACAGATGGACAAAGGAAGAAAACAAATACTGATATCCAAATAGATCTGAACAATCAATAGGAGGAAGAGTGGCTAATAAACAGCCTTCTGTCTCAAAAGCTGAAATATTTGGTCATAGCAAGCACCACTGTAAACTGGGGAAAAAAATATGACAAGACATGGTGCCAGAAAGGAGGGGCAGAGGCCAACCAGTATGAAGATAGGCACAAGACAAAATTCTAGTTCTGCAACAAGACTTCAATGGACAAACACTGAGAACTTTCTGCCAGAGTTTTCCGGCCAGTGGGCGCTAAGAAGGGATATCACCCATCAATAGCTGACCATTGCTCCTCACAATGCTTGATTTCAAAAGACTTACATCATAAAGGTCTTAGATTCCTTTTCCAGAAATCCCTGGGTATCCTAACTGGCGTTAGTGTCTGCCGACAGACAACTAGGCGTTCAACAAAGGCCCAGCCTATGAGACAAAACTGCCGCAATGAAGACAACCATAACATCTTTAAAGATAACGGGGCGGGAAAGGCAGTGTGTGTGTGAACAAAGATGACCACACAACAACGAGACTGCGGTGTCCCCTCCCCCATAAAGCTAACCCAGTCAACAAAAACCTGCAGAAGTCAGACTTGTTGGCCAAAAGGCTCAAATATTGCAGCCATGCTGTTAACTGGGCACAAAGCAATTACATCTTCAGATGAATGCAGAAGAAAAACAACTTTGTAAAAACCTGCACCTGTTAAAAGCAGGTCTGTTAACATCAGAAGCAAACATGTCTGTTAAAACACACTCCACCGTGTAAATGATCCAGCAATCGCCCTCAACAAGGCAGTGCGCTTGGTGAGTAGTTTACAGCTAGGCTGCAAAATCTTTTACAACATGCTTGTTTAGGTTAAGGGGTCAGTCTGCCCACCTTTCTCTCTCCCAAAAGGTTACCCTGGAAATGAATCAACCTGGCTTTCACACTATAAAAACACACACACAATGGACCTCATAAAGAAAAAAAATCACCGTTTATTGTCTTTCATACAAAAACTACTTGGCTGAGACTCAAAACTATCGGGCTTGCCTTACGTGGTGGTCATCGTATAAATGCAGATCTTTACACAAATAAGCTTAGGTATACATAAATAGAGGAAATTAAAGCAGCATTATGTTACAACCAGCAAATCTGTTCAACTATCTGCCTCTATTATTTAACATATTTCTCGCATACATAAAGAATATGTCTTTCAGCTATACTTTTTTTATTGACTTCTAATTTACTATCTGCACTACATATAATATTTCTACTCTTTCAATATCAAGAAATTCTCCATACATATACAGATTACTCTTAATCTTTCTAAACCTTTGTGACCTCAAACTATTCTATCCTTATTTGTCCTCATCCTATCTCATGACTACATTATTTTGCTCCATATAACGGTTACTCTAAAAGTACAGATTTTCAAGAACTGTTACTCTGAAAGTACACAGATTTTCAAGAACTGTTACTCTGAAAGTACACAGATTTTCAAAGAAAAAAATTTATTCTGGAAAATTAAATACTTTTAAACTTTTCTTCTAAGAATGTGAAAGAGAAACAGCAGTGATTGGGGCAGGAATACCTGTTATCAGGAAACTTGCTTACACGGCATGGATAACCTGGTTTAAAAAAAAAAAAAATTCTGCATGTTTACATGGTCTGGAAAGCTGGTTGAAAAAAATTGGACTTTCGTTCCACAGTGCGTTATTGTGAACTGATGATCTAGATGAAATAACACATCTATACAGAATGGCAACAACGAGTGCCATCAATCAAGCACTAGATATAGCAAATGGTTTCTCCAGACATAGCTTATTGGCAAAGGCACAAGTTTACCTAACCGCCGCAGAGTTCTCCACTCCTGGCAGATTAAACCCATTTACATTTTCAGTAAGCATAATTACTATTAATATATGGAAAACATCTTTAAACCAATACAAATGTTCTTTCTGCCCATAAAAAACAGACCATCGAACTATCGCTCTCTCTCTCTCACACACACAGTTTTTCTGCAGTCTTAACGCAGGTAATCTCTCACCTTGTGACCTCCCTGGTTGATGTTCTTGCCATCTATCAAAGAGGAAATGGTCAGCTTTACTCCTGCAGAAAATGGGGAAAAAACTGAACATGTGACAACTGGAAAGATTTGCTGAAAGAAGATTGGGAAAGACATTCCTTATAATTTTTTATCAGAATACGAACTGATACTTTAGGGAAGAGGGGTGGCCCTATACTGGGAATGAAAAATATCTGGCAAAGCATGCGAAACAGTGAAGTGTGATGCTAAACAGCAAAGTGTGATGCTAAACAGCAAAGTGTGAGGCTAAACAGCAAAGTGTGAGGCTAAACAGCAAAGTGTGAGGCTAAACAGCAAAGTGTGAGGCTAAACAGCGAAGTGTGAGGCTAAACAGCGAAGTGCCCCATTTTCAAACTTGCGGCCCCTGATTAAACGTAGTTAAATAGACCTGCCCTAAGGCCTAAAAGCAATCTGTATCGGCTGACCCATGCCGTGATCATGTGATCACTGACAAAATACGACAACATGGCTACAAAGCCATTTAGATCACAAGAAATCACCCATGTTTTTTTTTAAAGTAAACTATATCCTGGGCCCCTAAATTCTGTGCAGGCACAGATACAACCAACAGTGTTAACTATGTGTCTTGTAAACAAGACACTGTAGAAAATTTATAAGTGACAATTACAGGGATCTAGAACCAACCAGAAGTGTCAGTTCTTGCAGCTTCTCAAAATGGCAGGGTTAGCTGCAATTTTTTTTAACTGAAACAAACTCGTGACCCCTATGATCCTATGTAAGTGTAGCCAACTGGCAACTATTTAACATGTAACAGTATGTTCCCATGATATAACATTTCACTCACTGAGTAATACTCAGCAAAGTTGTGCCTAAAAAACAGAGCTCAAAACTCAAAAAACAACATTAAACAAACAAAAAATTGCAAATGCAGCACAGTACTTATTCCGCCACTGGACAGATCTGAAATAAAAGTGGTTGACAAAAATATTAGGAGAGCCTTAAATACTTGGACTGCTTGCTTCCCTTCACATGCCATTTGAGGTAAATACCCAATCCGAATCACTCTAGCCCAGTGTGGGAATTTAGGCTTGCCTCTGTGTACCGTCAACTCAGGCTAGTATACTGGGCCTTATCTGCCTAACAGTTTTGTCACAGCGCTGGCTTTACATCTTTGGGAGTCTAGATATCTGAATCTTCTGGCACGGTAAAGTAGCTAATGTGATATTTACGATATCACACTATTATATAAGTTCACTGCAATTATTTTAACATTCACAAATGGGTATATTTCACTGTTATAAAAATATATTCAACACAGAAGTAAACATTCAGTATAAGGACTTCCTGTGTGATTTCAGGGGCCCCTGAGGGAAAGGGGTGGTAGGGGGGGGGGGGGGGAATGGGTAAAATACCCACTGCCCCATAACAAGCATTTCATAAAAGACAACCAGTTAGGTAATTTTTTCAAAGTTCATCTGCCTGAGTGACAAGGAACCAATAGACCCCATACAAATAACCCAGATCAGTAAAAACTGACGTGCAGGAATTCTGGAACAAATTCTGGCTCCAAAAGCAGATTAACAATCTGGACTTTTCCGCTGACCACTTCACAGATGGTGAATGCTAAGAAGCAGATCTTAAAAAAAAAAAAAGAAAGAAAAAGAAGCAGATCTTCTTCACTGTCTGTCCACTTAAATGATGTAATTGCGTTGTGCCTGTTAACAGCACAGCAGCAACATTTTCACCTTAGGACACAATTTAAAAAAAAAAAATATGCAGGGGGTTGGGACTCATGCAAGTGAATGAATATTTTTCAAACTGTAGAAAATGACATTACCATCTCTCAATGTCTGGGTGTAGCCGAGGCCTATGTGACTCTGGTTGTTCACCTTTGCCTGAAATGATGCAAGCAGACAAATAAAACACCAATAATCACAGCTATTCTTAAATATATAGTTATCAAACCGAAATAAAATCATTTCAGTGTCAGTTCATTTTTGTTAGTGTTTTTTCATTCTACTGATGAAGGCTAATTGCCGAAATATCATTTGTCTACTCTAATTAATTCTGTAAAGCTAACATAGTTTCCCGTCAATCTTTGCTACATACTTATCAGGACCTCGCAAACTAACAAAAGCATTTATTATCTTCTGGGTGGATTTACTGAGCAATTTGATGTTCAGCAACTTGCCATAGCGTTGTGAATGGTGCAATGTCAGTACTGATAAACTCAACAACAAAGGAGTCTGCCAGAAAATCTCATGCTGTAAACTATGAATCCTGGTGGTACTGCATTCCACTATAGATAAAAGACACAAAAATAGTTGTATAAGGACACACAGTTTATAAATATGCACAATAAAATGTTTTTCTTTTACGTGGCTGCAGTTGCTTAAACAGTCAACAACTAAAATGTAAATATACTCTTGTCCAGAAATTTAGAAGGGCTGGCTATACTAAAGGAAGGAAGTCAGCGCTGCTATTAAACATTAGTACTCAGGGGATCTGGGGTAGAGATATTATGAGTGAAGAGCAGTATGGATTTATGCAAGGTAAAGGGTCAGGTTATGCAATATACATATTACGAACACAGATAGAAAGATCAGGACTTATATTTGTGCTTTATAGACTTTGCCAAAGCATCTGACAAAGTTAAACATGAGGGGATGATAAAAATGTAAGGAATCAATGTGACGTATACAGGAACCAAGTAGTAGCAATTAAAGTGGGAAACAGATTGGGTACTTTTGAACAGATAAAGCAAGGAGACATTTTCTCTTTATATAGTGAAGTAATTTTAAGGGAAATTAAAGAAAAAGCAGGCATAAAAGGAGGATACAATATAAACAATCTGCATTAAGCAGATGATACAGTTTTGATAGCTGAAAACAACCGATTTACAACAGCTGAATAATGTGGGGATGGAGAGTGCTAAGAAAGGACTTTCCTTGAATAAGAAAACGGAAGTAATGATTATATCAAATAAGAAGATAACACCACATTGTGAAACCTCAAGTGAAGGGAAAAAGCTTAACCAAGTTCGTAAATTCAAATATCTGGGAACAATCAGAAAGAGTGTGCCAAAATGTTAACACAGAACCTGTTCTGCTGTATGGCAGCAAATCTTTGAATGTCATTTCGTTTACCCTGCTGATAAACTGCACAGATCTATCAATACAAAGTCCCCTGACCTAGAATAACACAAAGTCCCCTGACCTAGAATGACACAAAGTCCCCTGACCTAGAATGACACAGAGTCCCCTGACCTAGAATGACACAGAGTCCCCTGACCTAGAATGACACAAAGTTCCCTGACCTAGAATGACACAAAGTCCCCTGACCTAGAATGACACAAAGTCCCCTAACCTAGAATGACAGTGTCCCCTGACCTAGAATGACACAAAGTCCCCTGACCTAGAATGACACAAAGTCCCCTGACCTAGAATGACACAAAGTCCCCTAACCTAGAATGACACAAAGTTCCCTAACCTAGAATGACACAAAGTTCCCTAACCTAGAATGACACAGTGTCCCCTGACCTAGAATGACACAAAGTCCCCTGACCTAGAATGACACAGTGTCCCCTGACCTAGAATGACACAAAGTCCCCTGACCTAGAATGACACAAAGTCCCCTGACCTAGAATGACACAAAGTCCCCTAACCTAGAATGACACAAAGTTCCCTGACCTAGAATGACACAAAGTCCCCTGACCTAGAATGACACAAAGTCCCCTGACCTAGAATGACACAAAGTCCCCTAACCTAGAATGACACAAAGTTCCCTGACCTAGAATGACACAAAGTCCCCTAACCTAGAATGACACAAAGTCCCCTGACCTAGAAAGACACAGAGTGCGCTGACTTACACTGAATGTTGCATCACTGTCCAGCTTGTACTTTCCACCGATGGCAAAGTTTGTATTGCCAGTACCAGCAGCCCATGCCAGATTGACAGCAGCCTCCAGGTTGTCGCTCACCTTCTGGTGGATGGAGCCTACAAACTCTTGTCCGTCATTGCTGTCAACAGAAATTTATATAAATGTTACACCGGTTAATCGCAGCAACAAATTATCTGTAACACTAACAATAATAATACACCTCAGAAAAGTGAATGATTCAAAACTGACCGTGTCATTTCATAATTTGTTTTCTTCTACTTAACATTCACTGGCTGTAAACTCTGTTTGCTCGTCCGAGTTTTGCATGCACATCCATTTTACAGATAAAGCTTTTTGTATGCAGACTATTGGTTCCTCGCCTCACAGGCAGATGCTTCGACTTCGATTGAAACACCTTCCTGGTTAGCTGGCAGTTACAACATGCTTGTTAGGTGTTGTGGCCCTATCCTGTATAATAATGGGGTCCCGTAATCTACACTGAGAAACTTACTCGTACAGGATGTCTCCCTCAGCAACTGTAAGGTGGTGATAATAAGCTCCGTTAGCATTACATGTCATTTCTTTCTAAGAAACACTACCATTATATTGAACTGTTTGATACAAATCAAAAACTAAGCTGTGATAAATGCTAAACAGCATACGCACAGAAATAGCTGAACTATTTACACATGTTACAATGATACATTTGAAATTTCATAAACAGTTATATGCTCTGTAGTACAGAAGTTTTTATAGAACGAACGAGGGAGGGAGGTGGAGAGAGAGAGAGAGAGAGAGAGAAAGAGAAAAGAGAGAGAGAGAGAGAGAGAGAGAGAGAGAGAGAGAGAGAAAGAGAGCGAGAGAGAAAGGGAGAGAAAGAGAAAAAATGAAAAAATCGTACTGAAGGGAAATGAGTAAAGTAAAACCTTTAACTCATGAAATCTAACACAACAACAGAAAAACAATACTATATAAAAAAGTCTAGGAATGAATGTGTTTGTGCACATACTTTCATTCTGGCACACAGAAATCAATAATCAATAACAAAAGCCCACAAATCTACAAGCAGATGATAAACAAAAAATAAAAGTACACACAAAGGCAAATATCAGGAAACAACTTCAGTGTCAACTTAGGAACACACTAAACAAACAAGTGCACTAAATATGTCCCCACACAAGATCAACACAGCGCAGCAAATCTAAACAATTCTGATTATATACACGTCCCTGTTTAAGTTGAACTGTTCATTGCCACTATTAAAGAAACATTTTATCCAAAAAATTTTGTAATCAGCTTGGGAAATAATGTGAAATCTTGCTACATACAGTTTAACAATGGTGCTCGAAAGCCGACTAATTCAACTTTAAAAAGAGATTGAACTGTTGGAAGAAACAATATAGTGAGAAGAAGAAAAGTGGATATAGTTAGGGTATATGGTATTCCCAAGTTTGACGCTTTCTGGCATTTTCAAACATAAGGACACTACAGAACATTGTTTTTCGAGTGTAAAATCAACAGTGACAGACAGCGAGCTAGAACAGCGACATGCGATTTTGTCCATGCTGCCCTTTTAAAATGGTTCACTGAGCTTAGATCGGCAAATGTACCCATGAATGGGCTATTAATTAGGGCAAAAGCAGACTGGAAATGTAGTGCTGGCTGGTTCGATCGTTTCAAAAAACATTATTGTACATAATATACATGGCTGAGTGTGGAGAGAAACAAATCTGTTAATAAAGCAACAACTAATTCATGGAGAGAAGATGTGCTTGAACCTGCTTTGGCTAAATACAATTCTGTACCTGTATCAGACACAGCCAAATGTTTTGGCACACATAAATAAAAATAAATTTACAGGATGCAGACTGGGTGCCCAGATGATGTCATCTCAGCATCTGTTGCATTTACACAGCTACTGCTGCTGGTCCCTGCGACTTCTACTTATCCAGACTGGAAGGTATTCAGACACTTGGTTACAGTTCTCAATGTTTTACAGATTTGGCAATATTTGTATTTAGACACTTGGATCCTTGCCTTTCAGGAGGATGCACTCAAACTCTGAAGGAAATGCCCCTAATCAGTCCCCTCCTAAGACACGTTTGTTTGGTGGGCAATGTGCCGATTTCTTCCTTCCCCCAGAACCCAAGTAGGGAATCCAGGAAAATAAAAGTTCTATCACCAGCAAGTACCAACTGATCTATACCAATGTGTCTAGCATCATATGTAAAAGGCTCCGGTGGTGTGAGGAAGAAAAAGGTTCTTTATAGTTATGGTGTTTACAATCATTACCTCTCAAAATAGTTCACAATATATACTTTCTGAAGTATATAACTGGGAGGGGAGACGTCCTCCCACTGTCCAACCATAAACTGCTACAGAGATTCTGTTTTGAGTAACTTATAACGATTTATTTGTCAAGCATCTAGCCATCTGCTGCCGCAACATTATAAAAAAAAAAAAAAAAAACTGCATCAAATAGTATCCTGTCCTTAAAAAAAAAAAAAAAAAGGTTAAAATGATGTGCTAAAATAAGGCACTGGAGAAGATCACACACTAAAAAGTTGTGTAAATACGCAGAGAACCCATAAATCACTTTTCGACTTAAACTTAAAAAATAAAAATTATAATTAACATTCAAAAAGCAACTCTTGAACACTAAAAAAACATTAACGCCTACTTATCATCTATCCATGAATTATTTCTGAAATTTAAAGAATATATATCAAAAGTCAAACAGGAAAATCATAGTTCACCGCAGTTATCACCATGATAATTACTCTTATCACCATGACAGTTACTCTTATCACCATGACAGTTACTTTGATCACCATGACAGTTACTTTGATCCCCATGACAGTTACTTTGATCCCCATGACAGTTACTTTGATCCCCATGACAGTTACTTTGATCACCATGACAGTTACTTTGATCCCCATGACAGTTACTTTCATCACCATGACAGTTACTTTGATCACCATGACAGTTACTTTGATCACCATGACAGTTACTTTGATCACCATGACAGTTACTTTGATCACCATAACAGTTACTTAGACAAAGGGAAATGACCTACACAAATCTGTCATGGCCCTCAATGTGAGATTCAGTCTTCACACCTGCCTCTGCTAAGGGACTAACTGTACCATTAGGTCACTAAAGCTATTCAGGCAACTGGTGAAGTTTTCATGCTGAAATGTGTATGTATTTTTTCTTCGTGTTCAGTGGCTGTAAACAGAAAGTTCTAGTTGTTCATTCACTTCTGGGCTTTAGTCTTGTTCCAGAACATGAGTTTTGCTGGCACATCTATATTTACAGGTCTGTCTTATTTGTACGCAGACTGTTAGTTACCCGTGTCTCAGGCAGGCAGGTGTACTCTGATTTTGAAGGAAACATCAATAATTAGTAGACTTCAACGACATGATTGTTAGAGCAGCAATCATTGGTAGACTTCAACGACATGATTGTTAGAGCAGCAATGGGTCTGTTCTTTTGTCTCTCCCACAATGGGACCCCAGGACCCAGCCAGAGATTATGTATTTTATAGCTGCCTTCCTTTGGGACCCCAGGACCCAGCCAGAGATTATGTATTTTATAGCTGCCTTCCTTTGGGGCCCTAATTTGTGAGTGAAGGAATAAACTTAAATTAGGGATTTGCTGAAACCGTATATCCTGGGCTGAAGAAGAGCACACTGCAGCCTAATTAGTGTTACCACATGAAGACAAACAGGTAACAGAATACACCACACACCAACATGAAAAATAACTAGTATGGGTATGCTAAACATAAAAAAAAAAAAAAAACTACAAAACTATATTTGAGGCTAAAGGCACAATCTACTTAGTTTTTACTTCCTAAGCACTGACAATGGTGAAGTCCGCTGTTGACATTTGAACAAAAACTGACACACTTACACGTGAGTTGTGAATGAGAAGTCGCCAGCGTTGTAACCAAAGCTGAAGTTGTTGCTGGTCAGTTTGGACTTTGAGGTATCAAAAGACAACTGGTAGCCAGCAAGCCAACCTTCGTACCTGCACAGGAACAGAAACAGTCAAAATATTACACATAAAGTCACATTATTTATTATTAAAAGCCAAAGAAATGTCAGAGAATCTATCAATCACCACCATCATCATCCGTGTGCCGTTAAGATGTCACAGAGAGCTCTCATTCTATTTCTCTACTCCGCTCTATTGCATGCAACTCCCTCGATTTATGACGTGTTCAGCCAGCCATTTAAGCTTCGTGTAATGTTCAAATGTTTTATTGGGATAACTTTTTTCTCAGACCGTTTGTTTCTAATGTTAGTACTTGTTTTGTAATTCCTGGCTTATTTCAAATCAGAGAGTGTCCAATATAATCATCTTCTTTGTCTTATTACAATCAATACAGGTATTTGTCCACACGTTTTTCTGATCTCACTTTCAAAAAAATTCATCTAGGTTTGTTCTAGCATGACAATACATGATCTGTTTGTATCTGTAATATACTTGTTTTCTCACAATCAATCATCTGTTTTTCTGTGCATGTCTTTGTTACTTTTACTTAACAGAACAAAACCATCTGTGAAATTCAGATGTTTATGTCTATTCTCTACCTAATCATTGCTAGTATTGCCTTTGCAATATTTTTTCATTACCCAATCAATGGCTACTCCAAACAATAACGGAGATAGGATACAGCCTTGTTTTACTCTATTTTCCACCAAAAAGCCAGTCACTTAGACCATTTTCAGTGCACACTGCACATTCTGAACCATCATATAAATGTCTAATAATGTGTATTATTTTGGCAAGAAGAAGCATCAACACTACTAGTTCAGATCATTAAATGGCAGTGTACTGTATTACAAAGTAATGAGAATGTATATTAATATAATACAGCTATGAAATGGGACAGAAGCCCAAGCCCTAGCGTATAAAGACCATAAATACAATACAACTGACAATGATCTGCTGGCAACCTGCTAGGCCTCTGCAGACTGGATTCGGCCCGCCGAATGAACAGATCTGCCCTAAGGAGCAACATGGCAGCAACTGCAGACAGGGACTAGATTCCACCACTCTAAACGTGGAACTGATTACCAAAACCACAGTTCTCTTTTTGTAAACATAAGTTCCCTAGATAAATAAATTAGCAGCATCTAAATATGCAGACCGATTCCGCACTCCTGTGTGCGAGGAAATGCCGGGCCCCTAACTCCATGGAGCACTTCTTACTAACCTATAAACACCACGAAGTAGAAAGACAAGAGCTCGTGCTGCACTTCAGAGCCACAAACAAACCTATGAAAATTGAAAACTGCCTCAGCGTAAGCTGTGACAAGGTCCAGCGACTTGTGAAGCAGTTCATATGCACAATCGGGAAAGCGATCTGAGAGTCTGAGAGCCACCCCTCGTCATGATGTGACTGACCAGATCCAGTGAGTACCAGCACCCTCAACAGAGGCAACTTTACCTCTCACTCACTCTTCCGACCTCACTGTATGTCCTCTCAAAAGCATTCCGCTACTCTGCCTGTACTATCTCCACTCCATCTCTACCACAGGCGAATTACTCGGTCTAAAACAATCCAAATAACAAATTTCTGTCAGTGTATTTTCAGAAAGATTAAAACGACAGAACCCACCAAAGGCCACCCGACGCAAACCAGCTAAAAGGGCATAGCACAAGAAGGGGACCAGCACTCGTGGATTTCAGTCTGTTATGCATTTCATTTTGTAAACTCCCCCCCACCCCTCCCTCATATGTTTCAATGCTAATCAACCTATTTTCAGCTAGAAACCGACGGAACCCACCGAAGGCCACCCGACGCTCTGAGGCAAACCAGCTAAAAGGGCATTGCACAATAAGGGGACCAGCACCTGTGGAATTCCAGGCTACTACGCTTCTCTGATAACTTCCCCCGCCCCTCCCCACATATGATAAGGCAGAGCAGGCAGTGCGCAGGACTCAACTCACCAAGGACCTCTTCCTCAACCTAGCAAGCTATCTGTCTCTCTCCATCTTCCGACCTAACTATAAAATATCTTGGCACCTTCGGACGTTCTAATTTTTTTGCAAACCTTTGTTACCTCTTATACATATTTAACGGCTGCACACAAGATTGTGACAGTCGTCCTGTTGGGGGGCCTTGTTTTAGGTCGCTCAGTCTGCGGGACTGTTTGTTTCGCGGCGGTGTGACTGAGGACTGACTTGGTACTAACACAGATGAACAGTGCAACAGCTAGCGGATAGCCAACTAAACAGGAACCAGGACCCAACAGAACCAGAACTTAGGCAACAAATGAACAAATTCAGGTGTAATTGCTCGCCACAAAGGAAGATAAATAAATAAGATAGCAAAGGAACCGTCCTTGATAAAGCAGGCCATCAGGCGGCTAAAAAAGGACTAAGCTTGGAATTTTTGTTTGATTTTATACGATACGATTAATATGTGTTAACACCTTACCCCAATACCGCTGCTCCGTGGATAGTTGGTCCAGCAAAGTCAAAGTCAACATCAGCGTTGAGGTGGACATAATCAATTTTGTAGGCACTCTTGATCTTTCCACTCTTCTTCCTGTTGGGAATATCAGGAACAGATAAACCAAACAGAAAGCTGAACCAAGCAGCTTCACAATATCACAAACAAACACTGCGGCAAGACAGCTTTTATCTGCACTTACATAAATCTACATTATTACCAAAAAACAAATGCACAAAACCCCTGACATAGGTCCAATAAAAAAATATATCACATTTTTGTCTTGCCAGTAGAACAACTAACACGTGTGGTCACCTGAGATAAATACTGGCCAGAAAAAGCCCATTTGACAAGTGCTACTGCTCAAATGTGTTAGATAAAACTGTTGGACGTTAGGTGTGCTAGGCAAACTGGCAGTTTCAGTTGGACAACGCGGTTCTCAGGAGACTCACTTTCATTCAGTGACTAGATGTGATGACTGTAAGCAAAGACATTTTTACTTACAAGGTTTGTGAATTTTTTGGGGGGTTTAAACCAGGCTCGATGCACTTCTAATGCATATGCAAGCATACAGTACTAGATTACGTACGGTTCTATCACCCGGCTACTGCAAGCATGGTGCTATACAGTAAGTCTCCCGTAGAATGCTTTTACCTGTATCCTTCATTGAGTTGTGGACTGCAAATTCAGAAAATGGTGGCTGGTCGCTGCAGAACATGCATGCATTACCAAGTAAAGCATTTGCAACAGCTGGTTACTGCTGCTCCCATACATATGGAATACAGTGGTGGACTGTTGACATTAGCACCTCTCATGGCTGCTTATGATTTAATGGGTGTGCAAGCTGTCAGCTTTACCAGGACTGCTGTCTGTTCAACTTTACACATGGGACAGTGATGGGCATTTTATGTGGCCTCCTCTGGCATAAGAATGGAGCAATTCTGAGGTGCCATTTGCCACAAAAATTGATACTATAGAAGTATAGTTTATAGAACTGTTTTATAATTTCATTATTTGACGGTTATATGAAATATACATGTAGGCTATATTTACACATAAAAAAAAGTTAGTGGCTTTGATAGAAAGAAGAGTAAAGGCCTACAATCACATAAAGGTGGATACAGGACAGACACCTGAGCTGAAAAAATGAATGAGACACGGGGAACTGATCTGCTGGCGTTATTTATGAGTAGGCAAGTGGTTTTGTAAAGGACCTGCAACACGATGATGATGGTGATAGCGCTAAAACTTAAGGTAGGTTGGATTATTAACAATGACAGTAACAAGATTTAAATGACAAGCTTTCAGAGGGACGATGACCAAAACAGACTTCCCAACAAAATGTAACGCCATGCAGAGAAATAAATTCCTTATCAGAACTGAAAATCGGTTTCTCAGATGCATGTTTTGAATACCTTGAAGAGCAAGAATAATTTAAAAATGACTGAACAGTTTGTGAGAGCAGAACATTCACAGGGAAAAAAAAGGGATCCTCTTTAAACAATTGGCATATGGTGCTAGAACCAATTTTTTTGTTTGTATAAATCAATCAGCACTTGATGGGTGCTTCTGTCAAGACCATATCCCCAAACACCATCACTTTCCAGACATCATGTGCCAATTTTAGGCCGACTACAGTTTGACAACCATGTCAATTCAAATTATGTGCCTAGATGCACAGTTTGAGTCAAGAACCAATATCACAGCACTCGGGACATTTCCATAAGTGCTTTCGATAATACTTCTTGATGCAGATTTGAAGACACGACCTTTACCCTAGCAACAAATAACTAGCCACTGCACTACCATGACCCCATAAGTAGATCATTATAGGATAGTGAACGACTTGTGGTAAAGGAAAATCTGAACACAGCTGAATCGCTACCAAAGACTCATCTAAGGAGAGGTATGAACACTCTGAACACATACTAGCAAGGCACACAGTGACTAGAGGACTACAACACATTGTGGGCTGCATTTTGTAAGTGGGGGGGGGGGGGGGGGGGGGGGGGGGGGAAATAGAGTAGATCCGCTGCCTTCTAAAAGTTATGTCACAACTGGAGACTAATCTGGAACTTGTTCAAATTGGATATTTTGCCAAAAGGGGGCAGATACTTTTTCCCAGGACATTCACATTCAGCCACAAATGTCTTCCTGGGAGAGAGAAAAGTGCAGAATTTAAAAAAAAAAAAAAACAGGTAAAAACTGTAGAAGCAACAAACCCCGTCTGTGGAGCGAATGATGTATCAAATGCAAGCTCCAATCCTTCAGCGATCTGATCTTCAATTTTAATTTCTGTGTTGAGTACATTTTCTGTGTTCCACTTTTCAGTAAATGTCAAACCTGTCAACAAACACACATTACCAGACTAATGCAAATACATTTCTTGATATTATCTCAATCAACAAACACACATTACCAGACTAATGCAAATACAATTTCTTGATATTATCTCAATCAACAAACACACATTACCAGACTAATGCAAATACCATTTCTTGATATTATCTCAATCAACAAACACATTACCAGACTAATGCAAATACATTTCTTGATATTATCTCAATCAACAAACACATTACCAGACTAATGCAAATATCATTTCTTGATATTATCTCAATCAACAAACACACATTACCAGACTAATGCAAATACCATTTCTTGATATTATCTCAATCAACAAACACACATTACCAGACTAATGCAAATACCATTTCTTGATATTATCTCAATCAACAAACACACATTACCAGACTAATGCAAATACCATTTCTTGATATTATCTCAATCAACAAACACACATTACCAGACTATGCAAATACCATTTCTTGATATTATCTAACTAATGCAAATACCAATTTATCTCAATCAACAAACACACATTACCAGACTAATGAAATATTTCTTGATATCTCAATCAACAAACACACATTACCAGACTAATGCAAATACAATTTCTTGATATTATCTCAATCAACAAACACACATTACCAGACTAATGCAAATACCATTTCTTGATATTATCTCAATAAACAAACACACATTACCAGACTAATGCAAATACCATTTCTTGATATTATCTCAATCAACAAACACACATTACCAGACTAATGCAAATACCATTTCTTGATATTATCTCAATCAACAAACACACATTACCAGACTAATGCAAATACCATTTCTTGATATTATCTCAATCAACAAACACACATTACCAGACTAATGCAAATACCATTTCTTGATATTATCTCAATCAACAAACACACATAAACAAATACATTTCACTCATTACCAGACTAATGCAAATACCATTTCTTGATATTATCTCAATCAACAAACACACATTACCAGACTAATGCAAATACCATTTCTTGATATTATCTCAATAAACAAACACACAATACCAGACTAATGCAAATACCATTTCTTGATATTATCTCAATCAACAAACGTAGAAAACTTTCCAATGAAATGAGCATACAAATAAAATCTAACTGAATTAGGGCCAACAAGGCAACCACTTGCTTAAAGATCTAAAGTAAAATTTGTAACATTTGTATCAGGTGTTTCGTTTTTTTTTAAAATTCTACACCATTAAACCACAAATTATCTAAATTCTCATATTTCAATGGCATAATTACAGCTATTATACAAAGATAAACTCAACTAGAATAGAATGACTAGTAAGGTTGTTCTCCGATGTGTTTAAATCAGAAACAACTCTATATGGTGACTGCTTTTGGCAGGCTATTTCTCAGTCCAGCATGTAAGATCTTGCATATAGCAAAAATACAGATGCCACAATGAAACAAGCTTGAGCAAGACAGCATCTGGGAAACCATGAGGTGTCATTCCAAAGTATCAGGTTCATTTCTAAGAGTGGTAATCAGATAATCACAGCTCCAGCTTCACTGCAAAAAAGGTCACCCCATAGTTGCTCCATTCCTGTGCCAATGACAACCCACAGAATGCCAATAGCATACATGCATTCAGACCGTAGTAACTATTATATTATCAAGTGTGTAATCTTTTATTACTTCTATGTCTAGGAATTTTTGTACCACCACTACTTTTCGTTCGCCCGAGTGCGGTGACTGTTTACAGCAAAGCCGTGATATTTTTGCCTTTTGACTGCCACCTCAGACTTCAGAGAGCATTTACTGGCCTGGTTAACTCCCGGGAGAGTTTTAGGGGACACGACGTAGCCTTTCTGTGTGGTGTTCTCTTTCTTTCCTCACATACAGGTGAGTACCCCCACAGGGCAACCGAGACACAAATTTAGGAGAATCCAATTTGCTTAGCATCCTTCTTAAACAACATACAGTTGTGCATGCATCAAAAACACTTACCATACTCAGACCATTTGTATTTGGTTTCTAAATTTCCGGCAACTTTGCCACTGTCCCTGTTGGAGCTGATGGCTGCTTTGAATTCTACATTGTTCTGTGTTTTTGTCTTGGCATCAAACTTGAAGAAACCCCAGTCTGAGAAAAAAAATTTTATTCTGTACATATGTATAAATATGCATGCACACACATGAATTTTATGAGAGTTTTACCCAGTCTAACAATCTTATTTTGTGGCTAAGGTGTTGTGCACGTATCTGATTTCAAAACGTCAGGTTTGATTCCAGCTGCATGCAACCTGCCTTGACTTTGACGGCAGTGTGCAGCACTGACCGCCCAGAAAGCAACGATGAACTACTACTAAACGTAAAACTGCCTGATAAAAAAACCACAACAGTCTTGTAGAGGTTTTGCAACTAGCTTTAAATTATCTCCCTGTGTGGGTCTAGGGGCCCTAATTTGGGGGGAAAGAATAGACCCATTGCCCCTCCTCCAACAAACAAGTCTTAGGAGGTGGATAATTAGGGATTGATGGTTTATACAAAGGATCAACAACAAGGAACAAGGGTAGTATCCCATAAGTGCTCTGCTCTACTTTTAACTCAAGCCTGAGTCTAAATATAAATAATCTGTGCAGTACACAAACCCCATAGCACCGGTGTGAATCCTGAAATACTCTGGGTAGATCTGTAACTCCAAATTTTGCAAGGGCAGCACTGTTAGGCTACTCTTTTCAAAATCCAACTGCCAAGGGATTTTTTTTTAAAGTGCGCAACAATACACATGGGCATCCGATCTTACTACCCAGAGACCAGGGGAAATTATTAGAAGTTCACAAGAACAAATTCCAGCCTTCACCATGGGCCTGAACCTAGGACCTCCAGCACTCGAGGCAGACGCCATATCACTCAGCCCCCCCCCCCCCCCCCCTAAATCCAGAGTGCATCTGCCTGAGAGATGAAGAATCAACCGTCTGTAAACAAAAAAGCCAGATCTGTCAAACAGATGTGCAGGTAACATGCAAGTTCTGGAATAGGACCAAAGTCCAGAAGTGGAGTTACAGCAAGGATTTTATGCTGTACGTAACAGCCAGTGAAGAAGATATTTAACCATAAGCTTATTTCAAAATTATGATTTTACAAAACAGAATGCTCTCATCACAACCCATCAATAAATGTCAATGTTACTGGAGTAAAATCATAACACAACACAATGGAAAGCAAGGAAACATCAGTTGTATATATCCCAAATAATTTATAAGTAATACAATTTCATGATCCCGACATGATGACCTTTTAACCGTTAAAGCAACCTAATTATTTGTGGGCAGTTCTTTGTTCAGCTGCTGTAAACAACGACAGAAAGTCCTGGTTGTTTGCCCATTTGAACTTTATAGCTTTATGCCAGGGGGCGAGTTTTGCATGCACACACGTTTTACTGACTTATTTGTATGCAGCTGGTTTGTTCCTTGCCACTGGGGTAGATACACTCTGACTGTGGGTGTAACCTGATTTTTCCCACAATGGGGTCCCAGAACCCACACAAGGAATTCGTAGGTACCAATATTCTTTCATGAATGTCATCATTATCTAGTCAGCTGATAACCAACTCACACAATCACAGGTCTTGGATCAGGTTAGTGTTCCAGCTTTCCTTATGCCGAGAAGCAGAGCTAATCAGACAATCTGTGTCTGACCCTTGGGCAATCACTTTACAGAATTACAGCACAATGCAAAAATGTGTGATTGAGACAATATATGTGACAATATACATCACTATAAAATACTTACTATAGCCTTTGCTGAAAACATCTCTTGCGGCTTTTCCTAAGTCAGAATATGATGGAGGGGCCATTGTTAATTAATCTGAAATAAAATAGAAAAGCACACGTTGGCAAGCAATCAAAACAACTAACCAAACAAATACAAATTGCTTGCTTTATATTAATTATTCAAAAAGTAGTTCATTTTAACCATATCCGTCTCACAACTGGGATGTTATATACTTTCTAATATTACTGCTCACTCATTTTCCTTATCCCTCATTATGGTATCACCTCTTTACCTGCCCTCATTATGGTTTTACCTCTTTACCTGCCCTCATTATGGTATCACCTCTTTACCTGCCCTCATTATGGTATCACCTCTTTACCTGCCCTCATTATGGTATCACCTCTTTACCTGCCCTCATTATGGTATCACCTCTTTACCTGCCCTCATTATGGTTTTACCTCTTTACCTGCCCTCATTATTACCTCTGCTCTTAGCCAATGTCTTGAACTACTGTTTCACCACCTTTCCTGTTATTTCTATTTCTAAAGAAAACTGCAGCAAAGATTTGCTTTTTTTAAAAAAAATTATTTGTGGGCACTTCTTTCTTCACCGGCTGCAAGCAACGACGGAAAGTTCTGGTTACTAATTAAATGTTAGCAGGGAAATAAAGTGTTTTTTAAATGATCATGTTTAAAGACAGCCTCAACCTTTGAAAGGACAATTCACAAAAATATTGAATGAAAGATATCCATAATACTGAAAAAGAGAAGACTGACAAAATTGAGGAAAATGTTTTTGGGCTATTCTCCGAAAAATGGTCCTAAATTATGGAGGTGGAAAATATACCCTAACAGCGCCTTAGTCACGTGTCAATTGTGCACTTCCGCCGCTCACTCTTCCCAAAAAGTAGGGCTTGGAAGCAACAACACGGAGAAGGACAGTTCTGTAAGTATAAGACAACTACTGGGATGATAATGGCAAAAAGAAAAAAAAAACACTGCAGGCCAGAAAAGAAACCACCTAATGAAATAAATACAGACTGTTTTCTTAGTTGAGTTCTACTACTAAAGATACCAAGCTGATTGTGTAAGTATTTTTATTCAATACTTCCTGATATCACCATTTTACCCCATCATCATCAGGTGCCTTGCAGAATGGCGTGGGCGATCATGCCTCTTCATAATCCACGATCTCCTGCAGCATGTATCAGTTCGTGTGCCGACACATCTCCAGGCCATGCAACAAGACTGTCAAGAATCTTCTCTCATTTTCCTCTATTCCTTCTTCCACAGATCTTTCCAGTGGTCACACATGTTCTATTCCCTCTTCTCATAACATGGCCGAAAAATGATGACTGTCTCCTTCTGGTGTCTGTGATAAGTTGTCTTTGGGCTCCCACCTCTTTTCAAAATCAAAACCTTAGGTCTTTTACCCCAGTAACACTTTAAAAAAAAATTCAGGTTGTACTGAAATTACATTAAAAAATTCTAAATTTTACATATGGCACTGCTAAGTTCATTAAAAACGTAATTACATTTTCTCTTTAAATATATTAAAGGATGTATAAAGGAAAAAAGAACAAGTAAAGCATTAAACGGAATATATCCCCAGGGGCCAGAAAAAATGTATCTGGTGACTCATGCTGTGACCCCGTGACCTCATTGAGACAAAGGGATAATTTGACATTAACCTGGCTTTAAATAAGTTATGGGGCTCAAAATAAATCCCTCAAATGCTGCTTTTCTCTACTCCTGGAATGCCTCGCGGCGTCAGGACAGGAAGCGATCTTTGGAAAAGGCCCTTCTGCTTGCTTTGTATAAAGAACTTTTCAGTGTCCACTGTCTGATACTTCTGTGGTTAAATGCTGCATGACCTCATGAACACTTGGGCAGGTACCAAAACAGCATGAACTCTGTGTCTTGTAATTAGACCACTATAGAGAGGCAAGTCGGAATGTGACATTTACGGGCAACAAAGCAGAAGTGTCGATTTCGCAGCTTCTCCTTGCAAGAAGTTTAATAAAAGAAAAGCAATTCGGCTGTGACGGTATAGTCCCGGAAGTCAGCAACTGACACATGACTGCGGCCGTTTGGGACCGTTATTCGAAGGATAGCCGAAAAAGACTACAGGATTACTAAAATTACTTGTAAAATGTATAATGCAATTACTTAAAAAAGTATCGACACACTTCCAAATACCGGTCTCAAACTATTCAGGTGGTTGGCACGTTGTGTTGTGGTTTACAGCTAGGCTGAGATATCTGCGCCTTTCGCCCCAACATATCCGATTTCAGTAAAGTCCTAATTAGTCGTTTTCTACAACATGCTTTTATGTGGCAGTGGATGTATTTTTTTTCCTCAAACATGTGGCCTCAATGGATCAAAAACTACTACTCCCCACGCTGCTTAAACAATGGATCATAAACTATTCCTCCCCACGGCGCTTAGCTTTATGTCTAAACATGGCTATCCATCAAGCAATAACGGCAGAAGTGGAAACAGATGATGGCCTAAATCGTTTTACTACATAACCTCTTAAGGCTCTCAAAGGGATGTTTTTCGCAGTGAATAATTTGGGACCAGAATTCAGAGTGCCAAAAATATCATCAAATTGTCTTATAGATTAAAAATTAGTTTACTTCTGTTTGTGTATCACAGAAATAAGTGAATTCAAGAGGGAACACAAATAATAATGCATTGCTGGGACAAAAAAAAATAGTAAGAGAAAGTAGAAAGGTGAGGCAGCAAGACCAATCACTATGACAATTACAATGATATCTCAATGTCAAACTAAAATACTATAATAATCAACTAAAGCACCCATACATACAATACAAATATAATATTGATGACAAATAGGGAACAGTCGGGAGTGCTACACAGTGTTAACCTGACTTTGACTTTCATCATCCGATACTTGTCTCGGGTCATGGCTTCTTCACCCTTCAAAACCTCGCCCGGGTACACTCTAGTCCATTCAATGTATGTAAATTTGCATTTTGTAAAATACAAGTCAAAGTCTAAATCTGCAGAATTGACTTTACAAAATACCAGCCTTATACATCATTATAAACATATAATCTGTATGAATATTCTATAAATGCTGTCCATATCGCCACCTTGTCTTATGTAGCCACAGATGGCGAACTAGGCTAGCAAGCAGTATCACTATCACTCTCTCTCTCATCAAACCACTCTCTTGTTCCGTCCTCACAAAACCGGCATTCCAAACACAAATCCCTTGCTAACCTAATGAATAATCAGAATTATCTTTTGCAAAGCACATTCTAAAATAAATAAAGAGTAATAATAAAAATTATCGTACACGTTTGAGTGATGAGAAGAGCCAGAAGGACGACGACAACTTACATGTAAGCGGACAAATAGCTAGCTGCTTCTGACGCGGCGTGACAAGAACCTATCCCTGTACAAGGTCACAGACGTAACATGTCGGCGCCCTGGGCTCGTGGGAGCTAGCGAGATTTCACAGACATATAAAATTGTAAATATTTAAATAAACAGATAGTAAAGTCTGAATTTAAATTATTTTAATTTATGAATAACGTTATGTAAAGAAAATAAGCTAAGCGAATATTGATATTGTTGACAGGGGATGTGCCTTTTTCACTTTCGTTTTCGGGAATGTTACGGCGATTTGTGTTCTTAAAGTCCAGCCCGTTTGGCGTTGGTAGTCATGCCTACCCAAACTCTTCTGTCTCGTACACTTTCAATCAACTCTGACACAGATGGTCTTCCATGCCATGGTGTCAGACTGTTCAGCATCTGTTCTCTGCGTCTCCTTCTGCCTCTCCTCCCCTCCAACTTTCCTACCGTCACAATGCAATCCCGTTTTGTTCCTTCTCATCACTTGGCCAAAGAATGTAAATTGTCTCTGACGTGGTCAATAAGTGCTCTGCGTGAGTCAGTTTCTTTCAAGACGTCTTCATTGCTCTTTTTATCTGTCCAGGGTATTCTCATCATTCGTCTATAAAGCCACATCTCCGCAGCTTCCAAACAATTTTTCACTAATTTACTGACTGTCAATGATTCGCATCCGTAAATCAATATTGGATTTAAATAGCTTTTAGGAATTCTCTTTCTCACGAAACTGACAAAGAAAGATGGCACAAAAAATTCTTCATTTTGTAAAATACCACCTTTGCTTGAGCTATTCTACATTTAACGTCCTTAATACATCGTAAGAACCATGTTTGAAACGGTCAAAACCGCCCAAGTAATTAAAGAAATGCAGAACTATAAACTGCATATTCTTGGAATTAGTGAAAGCAGGTGGACAGGGTTTGGACAATCCACAAGAGGTACAGGAGAAACCATAATATACTCTTGAAGAGATGATAACCTACATTCTGCAGGCGTGGCACTTATTTTAAAGAAAGGTATACACAAACATCTCATCGAGTGGCATCCAATCAATGAAAGAATAATGACAGCACGATTCAATGGCAAACATGCCAAACTTACAGTCATCCAATGCCACGCACCGACTAATGAAGATGAAGATAAAGAAACATTCTATAGGAGACTGCAAGAGGTAGTAGATAAAGTTCCAGCCCATGATATTCTATGCATTATGGGAGATCTCAATGCAAAAGTTGGTAACAACTTGAATAGAGAACTATCAATGGGAAATCAAGGATGTGGTACAAAAATGACAACGGGGAAAGACTGGGCGACTACTGCACGGCGAATAGACTTGTTATAGGAGGAACACTATTTCCTCACAAGAATATACACAAGCTTACATGGATATCCCCAAACAGAAGAGATGTAAACCAGATCGACCATTTCATGGTAAACAGAAAATGGCGTGGGTCCCTACTCGATGTGCGTGTCAAAAGGGGAGCGGATGTGAGGAGCGATCATCACCTTGTAGTCGCATTACTACGACTTAAACTCAAAAAAAGTTTACACGCAAGTTAAGACACAGACAGATGTTAAATTTGTAAGAGAAAAAGACATTGCCACTAACTTTATAGTAGAACTCAAGAATAGATTTCAAACCCTATCAAGTGACCCAGAAACTCCAACTACAATCAGCATTCAAGACAGATGGAACCAGATC